CCACTCCGGCACACCCTGGCATGAAATAAGTAGGTTTGACAAGGTTTGCTCTAGAGCAGGCCGAGCGGGCTGTTCCCTCTAACTGGTTAGCCTTCAGGTGTACCAAGCGGATTGTTTCATCACTTGCTCCAGTATCTCCCCAGGTGTCAAAGTTAGGCTGCTGGATCCAGGGCTGGTCCTAACCAATTGGTAGCCCCTGGGGACTGCCTGGCCTGCTCGTAGGATCGTCGGTTTAAAAACAAATACAGGACAAAAATGTGTCAAGCAAAAAAATGAAAAAGCAAAGCAAAATGCCGGGGGTCGGGTCAAAATGCAGTCGCAGCCTGCCCCTAAGACCGGCTCTGTTGGTGGCCCCTTGAAAATGGTGGCCCTGGGCAATCACCTGACTTGCCACCCCTAAGACCGGCTAACCCCCAGGTCCTATATGTTCCCCCTCTCAAAGACAGGGGCTCTGTCTGCCCTTCTCCAGCCCTCTGGGACCTCGCCCGTCCTCCAGCAGCCCCTGGAGTCATCGCCGAGGGGTCCCAGGCAGCTTCAGCGAGTTCCTGGAGTCCCCTTGGAGAGGCAGCGCCAGGCCCTGTCATCCTGAACACAAAGAATTCACCAGTGATCCTTGCACTGCTTGGTCCCTGCCTTAGCTTGTGTCCCTTTCCTCAGGCACTGCCTGGAGGGTCTGCTCACCAGTCCCTTTCTTAGTGAAGGCAGCAGCCAAACAGCGTTCCTGCTGCTGCCCAGCTAGCTCCATGCCCCGAGCAGAGACCTGCACTCAGGCTTGCCCCGAGGGGACGCAGAGAGCTTCTCATTGCCTGGAGCGTCCCTGCAGAGGCAGGACTCCTGTTACACTCCTGCCCTCAGCACTGTCTCGGCTGCCTGTGCGCCCTCCTTCGCAGGCAGTCCGTGTGCCCACTAGTGGGGGCCCCGTGCTGAGTTTCAGGTCACCGGGGAGCCCTGGGGCAGTGCTAGCGGCCTCTTACGGTTCTTCCCCACACACCCACACACACCCACCCACACACACACACACACACACACCCCCCGATCCCGCATGACACACACACACACACACACACCCCGATCCAGACACACACACACACACACACACACACCCCGATCCAGCATGACACACACACACACACACACACCCCGATCCAGCATGACACACACACACACACACACACCCCGATCCAGCATGACACACACACACACACACACACCCCGATCCAGCATGACACACACACACACACACACACCCCGATCCAGCATGACACACACACACACACACACACCCCGATCCAGCATCACACACACACACACACCCCGATCCGGCAAGGACTGGATGTAACAGCACCCCCACTCCGGCACACCCTGGCATGAAATAAGTAGGTTTGACAAGGTTTGCTCTAGAGCAGGCCGAGCGGGCTGTTCCCTCTAACTGGTTAGCCTTCAGGTGTACCAAGCGGATTGTTTCATCACTTGCTCCAGTATCTCCCCAGGTGTCAAAGTTAGGCTGCTGGATCCAGGGCTGGTCCTAACCAATTGGTAGCCCCTGGGGACTGCCTGGCCTGCTCGTAGGATCGTCGGTTTAAAAACAAATACAGGACAAAAATGTGTCAAGCAAAAAAATGAAAAAGCAAAGCAAAATGCCGGGGGTCGGGTCAAAATGCAGTCGCAGCCTGCCCCTAAGACCGGCTCTGTTGGTGGCCCCTTGAAAATGGTGGCCCTGGGCAATCACCTGACTTGCCACCCCTACTGTAACCCCCAGGTCCTATTTGTTCCCCCTCTCAAAGACGGGGGCTCTGTCTGCCCTTCTCCGGCCCTCTGGGACCTCGCCCGTCCTCCAACAGCCCCTGGAGTCATCGCCGAGGGGTCCCAGGCGGCTTCAGCAAGTTCTTGGAGTCCCCTGGGAGGGGCGGCGCCAGGCCCTGTCATCCTGAACACAGAGAATTCACCAGTGATCCTTGCACTGCTTGGTCCCTGCCTTAGCTTGTGTCCCTTTCCTCAGGCACTGCCTGGAGGGTCTGCTCACCAGTCCCTTTCTTAGTGAAGGCAGCAGCCAAACAGCGTTCCTGCTGCTGCCCAGCTAGCTCCATGCCCCGAGCAGAGACCTGCACTCAGGCTTGCCCCGAGGGGACGCAGAGAGCTTCTCATTGCCTGGAGCGTCCCTGCAGAGGCAGGACTCCTGTTACACTCCTGCCCTCAGCACTGTCTCGGCTGCCTGTGCGCCCTCCTTCGCAGGCAGTCCGTGTGCCCATTCTGGGCACTGGGGAGCCCTGGGGCAGTGCTAGCGGCCTCTTACGGTTCTTCCTCTCCGGAGCCGGCAGCTGTCCTGCACCTTTTCCCTGATTTCCTTCCCAGGGGAACCCACCTCCCAGCTCTGCGTTCCCTCAAGTCTGCTTCCTGGGCCCCAGTGGCCTTATTCTGCTGGCCCATCTCCTTTCCTCCCAGCCACGAATCTCATTTCACGGTCACCCCCCCGCCTGCTTCCACCTCCCGCCGCTGGCCGGAATCCAGTCCACACTGGCTGTGCCCTGCCGCTCTCCAGAACAAGAGTCCTTGGATTTTACTGGACCCTGCTTCGCCAACAGATGGCCAGTAGTTGAAGGGTCCCACCCCTCCCCCGTTACTGGGTTTCGTGGTTTGGAGAGATCTGCCCTTAGCTCTCGTCTGGCCACGGGCAGAGGCAGGAGTAGAACCCAGGCAGCCCAGTCCCTGCCCAGCGCTCTAGCCAGCTGGCTAGCAGGCAGTGGAGCCCACAGCCTCCATGGGCCCCTAGGCAAGGGGTGTGTACGGGGGGAGCTCTGCACGCCTGGAAGGGGCAGGGCCGAAGGCAGCCACCCCTCAGCACTGCTTGGAAGGCAGCATCCCCCTCCCAGAACACACAGCAGGGGGCTTCAGCCGTGATTTCAGGGGCTGGGGCCCATTGCAGGCCTGAGAGCAGGGGCTCCTGAGGTGACGCTGTGCAGCCGGAGGCTGAGAGCATTCCAGTCCCAGCTGAGTCCCCCGCCCCTCCTCCCTGCAACAACCCCACAAGGCTGCGGGCTCAGGAACCCCAAGCAGCCGCCTGGAGGGGGCTTCTCTGAGCAGGGCCCCTCGCCCAGGGCACAGCCTAGCTCCCTGCTCACACCGCCCTGCCCTGCGGCTGGGACGGGCCTTGGGCCTGAGCAGAAGCTGGAGGCAGCTGTCAGGTGGCGTATGGCTGCAGGCACAGTCACAGGAGGGAACCCCCGCATCTCTGAACAGGGATTTCTGCCCCCCAGCCCAAGAGGAGGGGGTGTCTGGAAGACACAGTCGAAAGGCTCCGTCCCATACAACCAACAAACTTTATTGCCCAGAACTTTCTCCTCACTTCTTTTGGTTTTATTTTTATTACAAATTCTACATGTTGCTTTTCAATATTGCCATAGAATGAACACTGCTGACAAGCGCCCCCCCGCGCCCCTGCCTGCTGCTGGTAGGGAGAGGAGCCCGCGTCTCTCGGCCAGGCCCTGCAGACCTACCAGCAGCACCCCAGAGGCTCCGGGGGCACGGAGCTGAGACAGGGCCAGCAGGCACATACAAGCACAAGCAATCACAGCCCTCCCCCCTCCTGACAGGAAGGGGGAGGGGAAAGGGGAGTGGTGGGGTGCCCTCTGTGCCCCTACCCCACACAGTGCCTGGTCTCTACTCGCTCACTCCTCAAGCAGGGCTGAGCGCGCAGAGGGGCCTAGCTCCAACAGGCCAGGAGGGGGCAGCGCTAAGGGATTCCTAGACTCAGAACACCCGCTCCCAGCGACGGGTCCACGCTCAAGCGCCGGGGT